TGAGTATAGTGAGATACTGTCAGAAAGTAAAATACTTTACGAGTTAATATGCTTAGACTTGTGCAAAAAATATTCGTAACAAAATTTCACTTCAAACCACGGGGGAAAAGGAGTTTGTTTTTGAACTATTTAACATTTCTTGGCTTTTGACCAAAATACGCATGTATATTATAACATTTTATTGTATTAATTAATAAACGAAACTTATTATATTTGTAAAAGAACAATATTAATATTAAATAAAATACCTTGTCATGTTTAATCACGATATAGCTACAAGTTAAGCATTATTAACCCATTTACATTGAAGTATAACATTACAACAATAATATGCATTTATTTTGTAAATAACAACACACTTGTATTTTATGCGTAATGTTAATTCTTATTACATGTTAAAAAAATCATAAATCTATTTGAAAAATAAAAATGCTTTAATGTCGATTATACACATAAAAATAGGCCCTTTATAAATGTTACAAATATCGGAAGACAAAACAATTAATTTTAAAACTCAAGTCAAACATATTGCACTGTAAATTAAATAAAAGGGACTAGACACATTAATTGCACTGAACGATTTTTAACATCTTTACTAAACGATTTGATTTATACTCTACATTTTATTGGAAGAATTTTGATTCGGTACTCTTTGATGCTTTATTAACATGTAAACGATCAATTATTATTAAGTCCATTTTGAATATAATGTGTCTAGTCCACATACGAACTGCGAAATTTTGTTTACAACATATCATAAATTTGTTTTATTTGCAAAGCGAGATTAGTTAGCACTAACCAGTGATTTGTATAGTAGTCTAGAATATTCTGAGAATAATCGTTCGTAATATTGGATATGTTTGACAAACTTCAACATAACGTTTGTGTTACAATCATACAAGGAACCATTTTGTAGTTAAGTAGTAAAAAGCTGGATTATGAAAAAAAATGTACTTATAATGCTACGCAATAAGTTGTAACTCTCCATAATATACAGAATGGCCATGTATAATATGTGTAGTTATTTATATACTAACGCATCTATACCCACTGTATAAATCGTCAACTTATCACATTCACTACTCTATATTCATTTAAAAAAAATCGCACAGCTTAGCTTCTTAACTAGCTTAAAAAGGCCTTGTAACTATCTACCCTTAAGTTCTTTAAGAATTCCGATTATAAGGTCACCATATCGTCGCGAATACAACATCACTATATCACTTGAGAGAAATTAACTAATTACACAATGTAACTTAAAAACGAATTACAAGTAGTAATTTAAAAAAAATTATCAATTGATTTTGTAGGAAAATCGTTATAACACACACATTAATAGTTTAATTCGCTTAAATCTATGTTTTTTCGAGAGAGAATTTTTATGAAAAAAAAAAAAAGTAGCCTATGACGCCAATTATTATAATCACCTCAGAGCGTCACTAGATGGCGCATGCGCTTAAAAGAAAATTCAGTCAAAATCTTGTATCAATGACTGCAAGATTCTACGAATTTCGATTGAACGCACCTTACAAAACGAGTGATTGGCGCGAAAATTGACAGAAAAATTCAACTCTCGAAATGTAACAAGTCGTCTTTCGGTAAAATGGTTCAAAGAGCTCCCTTAAACAGTGGTCGAGGTTTCCTATACACTAAACCAGACTTAGCAGGCACTAACAACGACACATTCGACTCGTGAACGTACGTACTCTTAATTAATACGTATACCAACATAGAAAACAGTAAAACACGTTAGATTACTCGCACAATTCCACTAGATGTCCGCATTACATATACATTATGTAGTCTTTATTTTATTTATTGAGATCAATAACGCCGCTGCGCACTAAATTGTAGGCTCTTCGCCGAAAGAGAACGTCCTTTTGTCCCTCAACCACTGCCTCACAAATGCCACAGTTTAAACTACGTAGGAACATAAAAATGATTGTGCTTCATAAACACTACAAATCCAATCACTAAATTTAGATTTCTTTGAGCCGACAGCAATGTATAAGGCATTAGGTTAGAGTCGTCTAAAAGAAATCTTTAATAATATTTTAAATAATTCGTATGTTGCGATAATTATTTTAACTGGTGTATTTTTCAGGAATTAACGCTAACGTAGCTTTATTCAGTTCTATATAATTGCAAGAATTTACGCAAGAAAACTGGTCGTTTATTTGTACATTATAATCCATTCACAAACATCCTAGTATACACCAAACCTACGAATCACTATAAGGCAGTGGAGGGGCTTGTTATCGCACACACGTCAATTTTGTAGCACCAATGTCGCCGAACACAAACCGCTCGTCACAGTCGCCAAATATCTTCTTTATATGTCTGTCGAAACTCAAAACAGCTGTACTTGAATATGTACTTAAAATCCCATTGGCATTTCTATCGTTTTTGTTTGGACTACGTCAAATCTTGAAACAAAGCCCAAGTTTTCTACAAGACAACAGAACGATAAAATGCGTACCGCGATTCAAGAATTCCCTGCTACAATCGTAGAGCGCAGCATACAGATGCACACCAGGGCGAATGAAGCCAGGGGGTGTTCACGTACGCGGCAACAGTGGGCGATGGCGGAGGCGGGGGCGTCCGCGGAGTGGGGGGCATCGGCAATGTGGCGGGCGCGTGGGGCACTGCGGGGGACTCGAGGGGCGCGGCGGGGGAGCGCATCAGACGAGGTGGTCGCGGTCGTCGAGAGAGGCGTCGGAGTCGCGCTCGGCGCGCAACTCGCGCTCGAGGTCGAGGCTGCGGCGCTCGAGCTCGAGCCGCGCGGGGCCCGCCGCGTGGGGTCGCCGCGGCGCTTCCAGGGATGACACCTGTTACAACAGACATCGTTATTATTATTAACCCTTCAAGCGCCATAAAAATCGCATGCACCCGGCAAATCCCGAATCGCATGCGACCGCACCCACCCACAGCACTTAAATTCATTAAAACTTGTATTTAGAGACTACTTTTCTATGAAGAAGTTTAGCATTATAAAATCTGTACAAAATTCTCTATCTTATGGTCTAAACAAATGTCAGGTTTTACTTCATTACAAAAAGATTTTATTGTATTTTGATAACAAAAAAAAAATATACCAAGCGAATGTCGGCAGCGTGAAAATCACAATTATTTCCATATATATTACTCGAAATTGTTTACGTAAAAAGAGAAATTATATTCACACAAAAACTTTCATTACAATTTTATAATAAAACACTATACTAAATCACTAATAAAACACTAGAAAAATTCAAAAATTAACACAATAACATTCACGCGAAAATGGCGTACGAATGAACGTGGATTATAAATAAATATTCATAGAATAACAGCTTTTTTATTGCACTGGAGGATAGAGTATTTCATATTGATTATATAATGCCAAACTTCTTCAGAGAAAATTATTCTCTACATATAAGATTTTATGGGCTAAAGTGCTGTGGGTGGGTGTGACCTCATGGGACCGCTAGGGGGTTGAAAGGGTAATAACACCACTATGACGTTTAGGTTTTTACCCGACGTACGTCAGTTACAGATTTTCTATTGAAAATTGTAACGATTTCTCCCACTGCACTTACACGTCAGTGAATTTGCTTAATAATAAACGAGGATCTCGTTTATTCGATCAAATAATAGTGATATATTTCTTCAAAAACGTACAATATAAAACATTTAGAAGAAAAATAATAAACTTAACGTAACCAACAGAAACTTGAAGCATTTCATTGATAGTAACAACACAAATTCCATTAATAGTTTCTAAATATGCGGTCTTTATTCAAATTAGAAGTTAAGGGGAAATATAACCTCAAATGGCTTAGCAAGATCCTCCGTTACGCCGAAAGTATTGCAGCATTAATTTTGAAATAAATATATGGTAAAGTTGAGGATTAATGTTAAGGACTATGTTAGACGAAAACACGATTCCGTAAAATTTTCTCGATAGAAAAGAAATCCAAGGTAACCTCCAAACTGAACAATAAACCGCTGTTATTCATAAAATACTTTAAATAAGATCATGAAACTTTGCATACTAACTGAACTAACTATAAAGCAGTGCTTATGTTATTTACTTTTTTTTAAATACCATTATTTTCACTGTAAAAAGAAATTACCTAAACTATCGGCGCGTAAGCTTGATTGCCGTCGCCCCGTTAGTATCGCTCCGGCTTTTTAAGGGGGAAGTTGTGTCTCTTACGATCAGAATACACATTACGCAACAGGACGACGTAAAATTAAAATGGGAAATAACCGTTATAAAAATAAGAAGCGTCTGGATTGGCGTTAAAAAACAGGCATAAATATGATAAACCTAATGAAATAAGTGTCACATACTTACAGTATTAGTGATTACAAACATGTCGGTACATAGCATACGACGCGCAGGGAAGTGGGGGCGAAATTAGAATTTGAGCTGACTTACTAATTTACTATATCCACTTAAATATAATATGTAAAAAAATAAATTTGAACACACGAACTCCATGATTTGTGCCTTCCAGCCGTAGTATGTTGGTAAAAATGAAAATTTAAAAACTATTTTTTTTTAATTAATGGACAAATCACTTAAAAGTAATTAAAATTTTTGAAACATAAAGTTTTCGTATGCGAATAACTAAATCAAAAAATTTAAGAACATTGCGATTGCAACAACAACTATTGCGACAAAAACTTTCACAATATTTTATTAATTTTGGCATTTTGTGATATAATTCACACAGAGTATTAGCGCACAAAATGTCAACGTAAAATAGCAACTTAATGCTGCGGTCTTTTGTATGATAAGTGTAGACAACCCTTTTAACTCGTAACGAGGCATTTTATTTGTACTCAGGGTGATAACGCATCTACAATTTTGTTCTCAATCGATTATTGTTATAGGCGTCTATGGGTTACATCATCCATTTATCATCAGGTGGACTGTGTGTCTATATATTCTATAAAAAATATGTTAGAGGGGCGGGGGGGACCTTGGCGAGGCGGCGGGCGGAAGGCGGGCGCTAGGAAGGCGCGGGCAGGTGCGGCAGCTTGGCGGCCCAGTAGCGCCCCGACCCGCTCTCCTCCGACAGCGCCGCCTGCAGCTTCGCTTCTGCGGACATTGCATACTCTATCTTGAATGCTCTCATCAATATAAAGTATTTCTCGTAGTATCAGCACAAGTTTTTCACGTAGCAGATCAGTCCACGGTCCATAGAGAAGTAAATATCAGCTTCATTTTTATTAGAGCCGTAGCTCGAGGGCTAAATGTACAAGGAGATATTTCTCAGTACGTCAGCAATTTGGATTCAATCCCTGCCGGCACCAATAAAAATTTTAACTGAAATTTTAAATACTGATTTATTAAGTGCTCGTTAACACCGCGAGGAAATCTGCATGTCTGCAAAATATAAAAAATATTTCAAAGACATTTAAGTCCGTCAACACGCATTGGGAGAGCGCGGCGCACACTTACTTGTCCAAAAACTCTATCAGACGAGTGTAAGCCTGTGCCCAGCAGTGGGACGTATATAGGTTGTAACCTGTTATTGCAGCTCAGCAAAGTTCATGTTGGACATAGACCTTCCCCGAATGACTATCAAAATCCTTGATCCACCGGCATCCATTGATTCCCTGCATTCCACATCTAGTTGTCATTCCATTTATTATAGAATCACCTATTCTGTGCTTGTAAGTACGAGTTTCGGTTAAAAAATCATGCTATCACTATCACTACTGCCTATCACAAGCAGTGTCGGACATAGGCTCCCCATAGATCACTACAAAATAGTATCCCGAGGTCATTATTCCACTAAGTGAGAGGTCGCTAAACATTGCGCTTGCAAGGCTTTAATAAGGCTGCCACAAAATATACGTGGTAGAGTCCAGTGTTGCCGTATAAAGAAAAAATTTGCACTACACCCTTATGAAAATTGCGCTATATTTTACGAAAAGTACTTCCTGAAATCCACTAAATTCCGCAAAGTTGTACGATGTAAATGTATAAAGAAATAAGATAAACTGTGATTATCTAAAGACTAAGATATTAGTAATTATAGAACTATTAGTTATATAATTACTAATATCGACTAAATTAAACAATCCCACTACATGTTCATGGTCATTATCACCTCCAGATGCCAATGACGAGCCTAAATTGCTGCTGTTCCTTTTCACAGTTTTGGTAACTTTGTCGAAAGTTTTCAGGTAAGTCGTAAGTGTGGTCGCTTTTCTTAAGATTTTTTTATTGATGACGTAATTATATTTAAATTTACTGCTTCAGCTGATATCCGGTTACGTAGCTTTCTTCTGACAATAGTCATAACGTCGAAAATCATCTATACTTCGGCGTTTAAATATGGAAACGACAGCGCGCTGATAGCCAAGTCCACTAATTCCCGAAAAGAATTCATCCTAGCCGCATTTTGTATCTGGAGACTTGTGCCCAAAAGACAATGGCGAACTCAAACAAATTTTATGCGACTGTTTTTTCTCGCGAGAAAAACTGTCTACAAATGCAAAATATGTAAAAATATAGTTATTTATTTATTTATTTATTTAACACCAACAAGACATACACTAACAAAAGCATAATATTTTTGCAAAAAATCATAAAAAATAAGTGTTGATTTAATTATAGGTGTTACACACATTTCATTAAAAAAGAGTTTAAAATCACGAACATTTTTTTCTTCGGTCATACTACTGCAGGTAGTCAGGATTTAAAGATCTTCCAGTTTAAACAAAATACACATCAGACTAGGCTGTATGGTATAAAACGCCTTAAAATTAGGCAAATCGTTACAACAACAACTAGGTAGTCAATATAATTTTCATATATGTTTATATAGGGTAATTACTAGCATAGATCCTTATAGCATCTTTAAAGAACGCATTAGTATATATAGAAGAGTTTTCTGTATATATATATATATATATATATATATATATATATATATATATATATATATAATACACGTCAAACACGGCTGCATGCTATAAGACCTTTGCGTGTCTTAACTGACGAATCGTAACAACTGCAACACCTAGGCAATTAAGTTTTAAATTGTTTATGATGATCATTGAGCTATTATGTACTACGTACTAGAGGCGACACTGCATTCGGCTACTCTGTTCCACTCAACTGCGGTGCATACACTCTACACATCACACTGTGCACACACTACAATCTTGTGATAAAAATATGCCGTCGTGTTTACTAAGATATTGCACAAATAATTCAAGAAATGTCCAAGGAATTACCTTACCTACCCTAATAACCAAGGACGAATCCGTGGCGCAGTGGCTTAGCAATGAGTGGCTGCGCTGGGGGTCACGGGTTCGAATCCCGCACGGAACTTTGTATGGCCTTTGTAACGGAAATTTGTATGACCTACAAATAATTGTTCCGGGTCTGGATGTTTGTCCTTGTGCAATAAATTAATATGTTCAGATGCGACATTTCTGTGGGTACTTAAGTATAGGACGAATATATTATTAGGTATACACATTTTTTTTGTAGAAACATATACAAGTTATTATAATTAGGCTAAATTTTTCATGTTTATATCTGCTTATTATTCTTTTATTTTATTTTTAGGTTTCCAAATCAAAGTCAAAGTGGAATAAATTCGTCCGTTTTTAACTCTCGCGTGCCCAGCATTTATGAACGACTTTTATTCTAATTTAAATAAATATATTTGTAATTTAAATGTGATGTTAATAAGTTTTGTTAAACATACATTTAGTATGTTTTTTATATTTGACTTAGATACCTTTTAAAATATTCAGATAAAAATATCATTAAAATTTAATTGTGATATAATATCATGTAATGTTATATTAAATAAGCAAATATAATATACAAAATAAATGACAAAATTTAAATATTGTTCTCGATATAATTTACCTATTTAACAATACAATCTACTACTACCTACGGGCCATTCTACCTATGTTTATTCTATGACAAAAAAACAACAGCGCGAACACAGAGTAGCGCACATTTTTTGTTTGAGATAGCTGTTCTAGTACGTAAGTACATATTACTTCAATGATGATGATTTTTTCCAGACTTCGATAGGCCATAAGCTTGATTTTAATTAGATAATACATAGTAAATTGTTTTATTGATATCTGAAATGGTGACATAAGTAGACGCTTAATAATTCCATCAACAATTTGCTACAACAACTAGTCAATTTAGTTTTAAATTAGGTAAGATGATTTTTATTTCAGACTTCGATAGACCATAAGCTTGATTAGATAACGAAAAGTAAATTATTTTATTGATATCCGTAATGGTGACTTAAGTAAGCTTTCTTTCTCGGTGGCATCTCCATTTAAAATTTTCACGAAACACAAAAGTGAGCTAAAAGAATAACCCGAAACTTCAAAGTTAGAAATACCAGTTCTTCTCAAGTATTAAAGCTTAGACGATTAATATAATGGAAAGCAAAACAGCTTCATACATTATACTATAATGCAAGAGAGATAAAACAATTAACGCATCAGCAAGATTTATACGGCCGGGGAATACTTGAACGATCGACTAACTAGTTTTTTTATCACACATTAGGCTGCCAACTAACATCAAATTTTCCGCCAGATTCCACTAGATATTTAATGTATTGTAAGTATCTACAAGATTATGGAGTGTTTATTAAATATAGACCTTATGGTATACTGACCGACAGTATGGGTTGCGGCATAATCGACCGATTTTGTATATGCCATACATAGAGGTATGGACTGAGGGTTAAGAAGAAACTGGGGAAGTAATTGCCGTTTCCCTTAATGTTTCAAAGGTCTTCAAAAATATTTGGAACGCTAGCCTTTTCGGTAAGCTTTTAGCGTACAGTTTATCTATAAAATGATCAACTGGGTGAAGAACTCTCTAAGTGAACGGTATCTCAGGGCCGTTACCGAAGCCTGCTCTTCTGAGCCATCTGTATACAAAATGTGTTTATGCCGGAGTTTCTCAGGAGTTTTCGTTCTTTCCGCAACTCGTAAAATACAGATTAGTTAACGCGGGAGTTACAGTAATATTCATAGGAATTTTTTGTTGTATAAAATCTTGGACTTAAACACTATTCTTTTATATAAAAAGTTTTTTTTCTATACTAGTGCACTTCACTCACTGGCGACTTGGGATGCGTTGAAGGTGACCGGTGTGCGCGCGAGGGGCGTCCGTAGCGAGCCGCTGCGACCGCCCACGCCCCCCGTGCTCCCGGCAGCCGTCCCCCCCGCAGCCGTCCCCGCCACACCCGCACCCGCCGCCCCCGCGGCCGCACCCGCCGTACCCCCTGCACCCCCCGCGCCGCCCGACTGCCGGCAACAGAAAAACCATATCTATACACAATTACTCGATACCACACAACACTAAAATACAAACCCGAGGTTCGTTCAAAATGTTTCACAACTAAATAACTGTTCGCTTAACAATCGGAACGAAATTGACCGCGTCCAGGATTTAAATTATAGCTATGCCTAAACTCTTCAGCAGTTTATTTTAATATGTTCTACAAATTTAATAACAAAAACTAAAAAAAACAATAAATTAAACGGTTACACTCAGATCATTGATTAATGCATTTATTGTTGCCGATCACAGTTCCACTGCTGATTAGAGATAGATGGATCATAGAAGGATATTCATTCGCGACGTTTGGCACGGCATGGCAAATACAGTTTTTTATTATTTTATATATAGCAACCACAGTTTTTTTTTATAATTTTGAATTGTTATCAGGAAGAGGCGGCTGCAAATCTCCGGTTTCGTTTCCCTCTCTTACGACACCCATGGGATGATATGGTATAGTAATAATAATAATAATAATGTCCTCCAGACCGGATTTCGGCCACGACGGCCTGCCTCAACGGAGACTAGCCCTATGGCTATGCGCGGGACAAGATTATAGCGCTCTATTCCTTCACTCTCATAATCCGATGGGAAGGTAAACCGGCACGACCGGATAGAGATCAGGCGCAGGACCAACGGCTTTACGTGCTTTCCGAGGCACGGGGGTGAGAAACCGCTAACTTCCTGACTCCGGGCAGCTACTGAGAATTTGTTGACGGCAAAACTCAATAATTGATTTTGTTGGCCCCAGGACCTCATGATCAGCAGTCTCACTACTACAACCACAAGACCAACGAGGCAGTATGGTATATAGGAATAGTGGTACATCTTACGCAGCAATTACACACCATATACTCAACTCAATCTCATAATGTTACAGCGGTTAAAGTAAAAATCACATGATTTACAATAAGAACTCATAGTGTATTCGAGGTGCTATTTACCAGACATTTTTAGCGCTTGATCGAAAAGTACAAATACCATAATATATTTATTGCTAAGAAAGCTTAGAAAGATAAATATATAAAATGTTAACAGGTATAAAAGTGCACGTAAAACTGTTATTACTTTGGCTACTTTAGAAAATTTTATTTTAAACTTTAATTTAATTATTAAAGTTTAAGCGTACTGTTCCAGTGCAATCTACGCTCTCTGGTTACGGACCAGGAGCTGGTCTTTGCAGAATCGTTGAATAATATATAACAAATTCGGTTTTGTGATCAAGTCATAAACACCCCACTGGTAACTCTTATTGAAGTAAAGCTAAGGCGAGTCGTTTATGTTATAAGAACGAAAAGAAATCGAATATTTAAAATTTATAAAAATTACCACATAACATATCAATCACAAAATAAGTTTTTATTTTTTTTATTTTTTATAGAAAAGCGAGCACACAGTCCACCTGATCGTACCTAACTGGTTGCTGTGGCCCATAGACATCTACATCTATCCTCGTTTGCGAATCAAAATGAAGATGCGTTGTCAGCCTTGAGGACTAAGATGGAATGCCTCTTTTCCAGTAAAAGGGTCTCCGGTTCTCTACACTAACGATACGAAACACAGCAGCATCAAGCTGCTATTTCACGCTGGTATTCTGTGAGAGCGTGGTCCTACCACGGTCGAGCCGACCCATTCGTGCTACAACTATACCAGTAATATAGCTGCATCATGGCATATCTACCACGTAAGTACCGACCAAGCTAAGAAAAAATATGTTATATGCATGTACATAAAATATTACGCCTACGACTAAATAAGCAAAGAGATTGCATGCATAAAATATACAAAATAAAAAACTTAAAATTAAACTGATAATTATTGCCTTGACCAAAAAAAAAATCGCAACTTATTGATAAATACTTAAAAATAAAATAGACAATGAGGCTGAATTTTAATTAAAAGTCTTTTCTAATTAGTAAAAGAGAGTTAATAACTTTTATTTTTGTTTATTTCATCTTAATTGACAAAGTTATTGAATTCTTTTTTTATCATCATTAGATTTTAATTTTTTGAAAATAAGAATTAAAACCTATTAGTATTTTAACAGGTTAATCAGCGGGGCTAGCCAAGTTCACTTACTACAAACGCTAACGCCAATAAAAACTATGAAATTTTTTATTTTTTTTATAGGAAAAGGGTGACAAGCGAGCACACAGTCCACCTGATGGTAAATGGTTGCTGTGGCCCGTAGACATCTACATTTATTCTCGATTGCGAATCAAAATGCAGATGCGTTGTCAGCCTTGAGGACTAAGATAGAATGCCTCTTTTCCTGTAAAAAGGGTATCCGGTTCTCTATACTCACCATACGAAACACAGCAGCATTAAGCTGCTATATGACGTTGGTATTCTGTGAGAGTTGGTATCCTTCTCCGGTCAAGCTGACCCATTCGTGCTACAACTATACAATTAATATAGCTGCAGCATGGCTTTACCACGTAAAAAAATACTACGTAAATAACGTGAAAATGGTTTTTTATATAAGAGGGGCAAACGAGCATGCGGCTCACTTGATGGTAAGTCCGCCCTCCGCCCATGAACAACCGCAACATCAGGCGAATTGCAGATGCGTTGCCGGCCTTATAAAAAAAGAGTAGGCTCTTTTGAATGGGTATGACATATCACAACGGGGAATCACGCGACTTAACGTTAATTCATGTATATAGTTTTCTACAGGCATAACGATAGTAGAACTCAACTTGGCTAGCTCAGCAGATATATTTAAATCACAAGCGCTCATTGCCTATACTGAAATAAATAAAAATCGGCGGGTTGCACTCTGAGAGTGCCGGCAGAAGTGAAAACTTGAATATTAACGATGTGCATTTTTGACATTTTGGAATGATTAGGGAATTTTTTTCACGAATTGCTTTAATTATTTAACAGGAACATTCGCGCAAGCGCTCTGCGCCGCCTAAACGAAACAGCAGACGCAGGCATACATTTTCGCCGCGCCGTAGAAATAGAGAGGGATACTTCCTCTCCTACGCCGCGCCGGCTGTCTCTCTCTCTCTCTCCATCCGTCTTACGAATTTTCGATCAGGGTCACGTGTCCTGACGCGAGTTTAACATTTTTTATCCATCACAAAAAAGTGTACAACGCCGCTAAAGAAGTTTTCACTTCAAAAAAATAAAAAGCGTAACTAAGACAAACCTATTTGTCGGTGCATTTGGGCTGGGCGAGCCGTTTGACGTGGTGCGCTATACTAACGTGGTTGGCGGGCACGGGCTGGGCCTGTCCGTGCTGGTGCGGCTGCGCGTGGGACTGCGGCTGTGCGTGCGCGGCGTGCGGCTCGTCGTCGTGCGGCGGCCGCGGCAGCCGGCGGCGCAGCCACGCGTGACGCAGCGCTTGTGCGGGCGTCAGACGCTTCTCCGGATCCCATTCTAAGCATCTGCAAGAGACATGTTGTGAGTTGAAATATCTTACAGAATATTGCTACTATGTGAGAGTTACAGAATATTATTATTTTTTACTGGTAGAGCCGTGGTAGCTCAGATTGTTAACGCTCGCTGTAAATATAACAGAACGCGAGTAACCTGGGTTCGATCCCCGCCGGCACCAATGAAATTGTTAATTGCAATTTTAACTGCTTATTTACCACGTGCTCAGCGGTGAAGGAAAACATCGTGAGGAAACCTGCATATCTGAGGAATAAAAAAAATATTTCGAAGACATGTGAAGTTCGCCAACACGTATTGCGGCAACGCGGCGGACACTTCCTTTTCCTAAAACCCTCTCAGAACTGAGGGGAGGCCTGTGCCCAACCAGCAATGGGACGCATATAGCCTGTAACTTTACTTTTACTTACTTTACTGGTACAGCCACGCTACAGCTGTATTATATTTGTAGCACTACTGGTCGACTCGATGTCACATAATACCAGCGTAAAACAGCAGCTTGACGCTGCTGTGTTTCGAACTCCTTTTTAACCTAAGACTCTTTTTACTAAAACGAGGCATTCCATGTCAGTCTCCAGGGTTGCTAACACATCTGCATTTTGATTCTTAGTAAGGAATAAATGTATTTAAATGTCTTTGAACTAGATACATCATCTAATTTTCATTACGTGGACTGTGTTCTCGCTTGTCACCCTTGTTCTATAAAAAATAAAGGATCTGATGGAGTCTATTGTGCTGCTTCAGCTCTTGATGTTGAATAAAATATGCCTGTGAATGTTTGTATGCAGTTTTCCATGTTTTGTACTATTTCTGCCTGCTTTCTAAATATAGAAAATCAGTAGAAAAGATTAGATTTTTTTTGTCTCCACCAGTGATTCGAACGACAGGACCACACGACCAGCCGTCGCGTAGCTCACAGTGGTAACAATGGGGAAAGCCCATGTTCAGTAGTGGTTACGATGGTCTGTACCGATCTTTCAACAAGGAAGACGACAATACTATCTGCATTATTTACATGCGCAGAGTAATGCTGCAGTACGAGTCGGCTAGATTAGGAAAGGACCACATTCACGCAGAATACCAAAGTGAAATAGTAGGATAATGTTGCTGTTTTTCGCTAGACGATTGAGGACCGGAGACCCTTTTTACTGTTGGCAAGACAACCACGCTTCTGCGATAACTAAGCTTTCAAAAGTTAATAATAATGTCCTCTAGAACGAATTTTGGTCACGGCAACCAGTCACAACTGAGAGTAATCATCTGTACAGGTCAGGATTATAGTGCCCGAGTGTATGCGCAGGCACAGGTGCAATCTCTATTCCCTCACTTTCATAGTCCAAAGTAATCTGATAGGACTGGAAGGAGATTCGAAGCAGCACTAACAGCTTCACGTGTTTCTGAGATATGGTAGAGAAACGTCGCTTTTATTGTAAATGCCTTCTGGCGAAGTAGAAACAGCTTTGTCCTGGAGTGAACTATATAAGGGTGTTTAAGGCGACACCGTGAAAAAATGCACCTCCTTTCATCGAATAGTATAGGACTATGACACCACTAACGAAAGTGGAATTTTGATATAGGTAAATTCATGTCTTTATCTTGAATTTGATTGCTCAAAAACACGATGTATAATTTTGACTCGATCATAATTATTTGCGAAAACACCTCTAAAAATCACTATAGTTGAAATTACAACGAAATAATTTGATGCTTGGGAATCACTCAAATATAAAGGTAGATAAGTTATTATACTCTACACGCAGAACTGATAATCTAAAACTGCAATTACCTAGATATAATAACTTATACGGAAAAAGAACTTTAAACTATGTTATACCTAATCTAATCAATCAGTTACCTAAATCTTTGAAAGACGTCATTACACGTAAAAACATAAAATATAAACTAAAATTTTTTTATATACAATTAACTCTTACTAAATACTCGTAACACTTTAAACAACTTCTCGTTCTATATTATTGGTTTACTTTACCAACATATTATCCTATTATAAATTTATAAAAATATATGTTATAATCATCCTGTGTCACGATTATTCACAGAATGTAATAAGTTCACCATGTGATTTTACGCTCATCGCGTAAGACTATTTTATATTTTTGTACCCATAAATAGTTTGTCAATTAGAAACATAACATTTAATGCACCTAATTTAAGTTGGTAATAATATTAATGTAACTTTGGTAATGTAATGTAATATAAAGTGTTAATTAGAATAATGTGTCGACAGCAATGGTGTACGGAAAAACTCTAATGAGTTTATGTTTACACTAAAACTATTCATCTTTGTAACATTTCTTTAATAAATAAATAAATAAATAAAAATAAATAAATAAAAAACATCAATATTCATAATTTACTTTATTGCTCATTATTCTGATAACTTAAATCAATAATTTTTTAAAATATTTTAAGATTCTGACAATTTCTAAGCGCTTTTAATCGTCGCGGGCGCTACGCAATTTTAGACCTTATGACGGCGTTTCTTCAAGTTTTTGTAGAAATTATGTATTCACTCGGATCAGTACGGCGATAGCGTTTTCGATGTGTCGTCTTAAGTAGATATATTTCAACTTAGTGTTGAACCGCTTTAAACAGATTTATGTATAATTTCCATAAATTTAACACCAACCTTCTAATAAAATCGATGAAGAACTTGTCCTGGCAGCCTTTGAGTGCAGTGACAAAACTTCTCGATCCGGGCAGACCTCTTGGCTTTCCTCTTCTTGACATACCTGAAACGAAAACAAGAATAAATAAGATCAGACTGTAAATTATATTTTTTCTTTATCATCAGCTCGTAAAAGATCATTGTTGATTATGTGTCTATATCATTTTAGAGAAGATCAACCGTTACGTTTGGCTGGTAGTATCAATGTAGCCTTTTACGTCATACATACTGCTACCACATGAAAACTTCGAAACGAAACGTTAGCAAATCAATGTGGCTTCGAAGAAGTACAAAACATAGAATGATATTTGGGGATAAAAAGGATCATTAGGTCTTCGAAGGAAATAATCTCTTTTCCGAAGAGACCGATCTTATAACGCCTCTCTGTTAAATAAACGATAACCAACCTTGCGCGGGTTTGTCAAACCTCGAGATTATGTAAAGCCGAAATGTGGCACAAATGAAAATAGTTTTAATAGAGGTTAATGGTGTTCAAATACTAAACATTGATATTAGTCTTCTAGAAGTCTCTTTACAAACAATAACAGTGCATCATACCTAATCCTGAGCTATTTGTATTTTTGGAATAATCATTTCAAAGCCAGTAAAACTCGAATAACTAGTGTATTTCATTGCAGACATAAATACGACCAAACTGGTGTGTAAATAGAATTAAGCGAGCGTCGTTATTGGCTGTTGTACCATCATCGCATTTTCACGACATACCGTTACACTTTTATCACCAAATAACAATTGCAGTCATCAAAAACCTAATTAGAAAATTCCAGAATCTTGTGTATAAGGCAAAAAATTCCACCACTTACACACACACACACACATATATATATATATATATATATATATATATATATATATATATATATAGATATATATGTGTGTTTTTTTGTGTTTTTTTTTTATACTCCAGAGTATAAGGTTAAGAATTCCCCAATGATATTTGTAATTTGTATGGCAATATTGATTGCCTCATAAACTGGAAGGAAATGAGAGACCTGTGTGCCCAGCAATGGGACGTACCTATAAGGGATTTAACATATTTCGACATATAGTATGTTATAAGCGCCAAATTAGGGTAATGGTAGCAAGATGAACCATCAAATGTTTTTACGAGACGTAATAATATTTTACTAAATGTTTCATTACCAAAAACAATTATTTAATTTATAATATTAAATACACTTTAACGTAAGAGCAAAACAAATAGATCTCGACAATCTCGAATGAATTGGTCTACGATTCCAAGAGAAATTGCGATGAAGTAATGCCCCAGTAACAAAAAGCCTCACAGAATATATTAATATGTTAATTTGGCACAGTTCATTCCACTGACTTATTACAGCATGTTTTGTTAAATCACTGTTTGTTGTCTCTTGAGACGTAACAATTGAACAGCGTACTGTAAACAAGCGTCGCGTCGTAGTCTCCGCGATCGGTCATAAAACTTGAGTTTCTTCTGGTTGGTTGCCAAGCGTAATTGGGGGTACACACTAACAGTACTTATATTTTTATATAAAACTGAATTAAAAATGAATTTACAGTACCTGTATTGTATTGTATTGTACAGTACATGGCTAATAGTTAAGATGGACTCAATCATACCTAAACAGGAGGAGGTAGTTAGTGACTATAAAAGGCTTCATACATCGCCTGCTTCCGTGACATTGATTAAGCCATTGGGTAAGCTATTTGGTTCACCAAATGTCTCTTCGGAGCAATGAAAGGCATTGTACTGCCCAAACCAAGGACGCCTTTTTAAAAACTGCAAAAGATGTATGCGGGATGCCAATTGTTCCGTTTTATTGTATATGACAATTCCAGACAAGAGTACGCAATTATTTATTTTTAAAATTTAACGCCACCTGCATAAGTCAACTTCGTGCATGTCTTACCAGGTCGTCACTCCACCCAGTGGGGAGTCGCCCTACACCTAGCCTACCGGTTATCAGTTCTCCGAGCTAAATGGCCGGCCCATTGCCACTTCAGCTTATTATCCATTGGGCTATGTCAGTCACTCTGGTTCTACTGTGGATATTCTCATTTCTAAGTTTATCACGCAGAGAAACCCTGAGCATAACCTTCTCCATAGCTCGCTGAGCAACCTTGACCTTCCTCATACAGCCAGCAGTGAAGGACCACGTCTCAGATCCATAAGTCATCACTGGCAACACGCACTGGTTGTACAATCTCGTTTTCAAGTTTTAAGGTATATCTGATGAAAGGATGTGTCATAATTTGTCGAACACTGCCCAGCCCAGTTTTAGGAGATACCTCGAAAATTTGGTCGTTTTTCTATTTCACTTATTTTTTAGGTTTTATAGATTAAAAACAAAAAATTTGGTATATGATTTTTAACTATATAACCTTAGATTGCATAAAAGGAAAACACGATATCATGTAATTTTCTCGATAGAAATAAATTGCAAAGTAGGCTCTAATTAGTTACATTTCATCATGGCGTCGCAATATTTTTACGAATAAGTTCATGGAATTATTTTAAAGGCATAGTAAATAATCGTATCTAAGTTCTCATAAACTATTTTTTTAATCCATAACGATTAGTAGTTAGTTTTTTTCCGAGCATGTACTCGGTATAGCTATCATTCATTGTCATTGCATTACTTTTATTCTGACACTTCCTCAATCGACAAAGGAATAAGCCACGCCCCCAAAACTACGATTCATTTTCAAGGTATCCTCTTAATCCGTCGATTGACCTGTCGGTTGAAGTTGGGCTTACCTAGTCCTGCTATTTGTCCCAGGTTAACATACTCGTCAACAACTTCGAGTTTAGCCAACAACTATCGGCATAGGTGTGACATGAACGTTACACATGATTTTTGTTTTGTCCTCCTGCGATATTAAGTCCCCCATTCTACCACAAGGACTATATCGTCGGCAAATCGAAGGTGATTGATGTACTCGCCATTGATGTTAATACTGTATTTCCAGTCTAATAACGTCGAAGAGTTTCGGGGATATAACGTCAACCTATCTTACACCTCTCTGCAGTGTGATGGGTTTCGTATTTTTTTTTCTTTATAGGAGAAACTAGTGATTACCGCCGCCCATAAACAACTGCAACATCAGGAGAATTGCAGATGCGTCTTGTGCCGGTCTTTTAAAAAGGAGTAGACTCTTTTCTTGAAGGTCCCTAAGTCGTATCAGTCCGGAAAAATGTGGAAGGTAGTGTGGTGGTAGGGAAGAAAACTTCCCTTTAATCGCACAGTTGTGGACCGCCAGTTATCCAGATGGTATAGATGATATCGCGAGTTTTGTCCCGATGGGTGATGGTGAAATCGTGCGGCTGGACAGTCCGAACGATTCCACAGAGCACTCCCCATGGTAAATGCGTTAAAATACGCAAAGAGATGCAACAACTCTTCGCAGTGCCAGTGAATTAACCTGATCGGAAAGAGCTCGGTCGCAAACGATAAATCGAACAGCTCTGCGCTGGATTCGGTCAAATGGAAGGAGCTGGCACTGGGGAGCCGCATCCCAGAGATAGGAACAGAATTGCATGTGCGGCCGAACCTGCGCCTTGTAAAGTTGCAAGCGGTGTGCCGGCATGAAATACTATCCCGCTCTACTGAGCACACCAAGCCTTTTAGAGGCCAATTTGGCCTTTTCTTCCAAGTGATTACGAAACTGCAAGTCGCTCGATATCTCGACGCCGAGGATTCCGATACTGGCGGAGGCAACAAGGGGAGTGCCTTGAAACTGAGGAGATACGACGAAGGGATTCTTTTTAGCCGTAAATGCGCAATATGTCTTTTGGGGATTGAACTAGATTAGATTTAGTCGCCCCTAGTTCGATACTTTGTTCAACAAAGTCTCGACTTCATACACAAGTTTGTCCCGGTACTCAACGACGTTTTCCCGAGAAGTATTGGCATTATTGGCAAGTATTGTCCGCATAGCAATGAATGTTTACTGGTTTGCAATATGTCATTGATATGCAGAAGAAACAGCATTAATGATAGCACGTAGCCTTGTAGAACACTAGCGTTAATGGGCTTGTAATCGGAGAATGCTCCGATCTGCAAGAAAACTGATGATCCGATTGTACAATTTCTCGGGTAGCCCATAGGATGGAAGCTTCGTAAGAAGCTCTTTGTGCCAAACCCGATCGAAGCGAAGGCCTTCGCTATGTCCAAACTAACGGCCAACGCCGCCCGCTAGGACTCTACTTAAGTAACCCAGATCACCAGCCGAGCAACCGCGATGGAAACCGTACTGGCGGTTACTAAGCCGCTGGTGATCCTTAAGGTACCGCACGAGCTGGCTGTTAACAACGGACTCCATTATTTTAGAGAACAAGGAGTTGATAACGATAGGGCTATAGTTGGACGGATCAGAGCGGTGATTTCGGGACCACGCCTAGGGAGTAGGAGTACCGGAAAAGATACGTGCTAACTCCGGAGCACACGTCTTCAGCACAATAGGAGGGACGCCATCAGGCCCACTCGACTTGTTGACGTCCAGCGAGAGGAGTGCTCTGCACACTGAGCGTTCGGTAAACAACATATCCTGCATGGAGCACTCACACCGCGGGATGGTCGGCAGTGTGTTCCCGTCATAAAGAGTCGAGTTGGACACAAAGAGAGAGCCCAGCAGATTGGCTTTATCCCTTGCGTCACGGGCCAGTGAGTCGTCCTAACTATGCAGAGATGGGAGAGATGGCAGACAGAAGTTCCCTTGGACAGCCTTAGCGAGAGACCAGAATGCACGTGTTCCCGAAGGAAGACGAACTATTTTATCGCCCATTCTATCGATGTGCTCTGACTTTGTCTTGACAATTACACTTTTAAAGGACCTGGATGCGGAATTATACTTCTTTTAAGAGTGCTGGTATTTGCATCCCGGGACGTCGATGCGTGAGCCCAGGCCTGGTAGCTACTGCTAATGGCATAATGCAATTTTGCAGGAGCGATCAGGCCATGGCTGGGTTTTGCCTCCGATAGGTACCACAGATGAAGGAATAAAAAGTTCCATTGCCTGTAGCACCACATCAGCGGCAGAATCAGCAAAAACGCTGGGATTATCCGGCGAGCATCAACGGAGACCTGATATACGTTCGGATGCGAGGTCAGCAGAAGGTGCAACAGGGAAGGTACATGATCTTCCACATCTGGGATCCGCGTAGGCGAGGTAATCAGTTGTGTCAGACCATATGCCAAAGCAAAGTCATAAATATATCTATCCGCAAGATCGGTTAAACGAGAACCAAGCCAATCAGCGTGGTGGGCGTTAAAATCGCCAAGTATCATAATCTCTGTAGATGGTACCTGTTGTAGTATGGAATCTGCAGTCATTTGGACGTGGTCGATGAGTCGGTCTGTGTCGGCATTACCGCTATGGTAAACCTATAGAGGCACCCGTAGACGCAAAGATGGTTGTCGCTGTCTACGCACAGTCATAAGGTGGGCAGGTCTGTACCTTCAAGGCTGCCCAGGCGTCGAAAACAGATGTCCTCTCTGATGTACACGCTAACTCCAATGCAGGGCACAAAAGAAGTGTTCTATTTTGTACTCCGGGTAGGAGAGATACTAAATATCAGCCGGAGAGGACATCTGTGTCTCGGTTAGAAAGAGCAAGGCCGGCTTCGCCGTTCCCAGATGGTAGTGGACGGCGTTAAGGTTTGAATGGAGTCCCTTGATGTAGCAGAGGTTCACGAATAGCGTAGTAGGGGGTATATTTGAGGCACTTTGGTTCCGTACTCGGATAGCCATCGTAGCCCTATTGTATAAACATTTCAGAACTTCGATATACCGACAGTCAACTTGGCGCCACTGAAAAGACTGAAGCACTGCTCAAATTTCGACGAAATCAAGGGCTTTCTCATAGTCCACATACGCAAGGCAAAGTGGCATATTGTATGTAATCGGTCTTCTGTACAATTTTCCGAAGGGTATGTATGTGGTCTATGGTAGTAAAGAATTTTCGGAAACCGGACTGTTCGGAAAGCTGAAACTCGTTGAGTCTGCGTGACTCAACGCCTTTCAGACGACTCGTAATGAGTTTTGAAAACAGCACATAGACGCGGCTCAGAAAGGAAATCGGTCTTCTTCAAAAGAGCGTTGCCGCCTTTTTTGAAGAACAACTAACAATCGTATCTTTAACTATATTGTGTGCATATGTCTTGTAATACCATCCAGATTGCAATTTATGTAATTGATATAAATTTTTTAAAATCATATAAATTCAATTCAAACGTCTGTCTGCAACATTGAAAAAAAAAACAGGCTTCTAATAAGCACAAGAGACTACTACTGCTACTGAGACTATTTACTATTCCGACATAAAAAAAAAAACATTTTTTTTTAATTTGCCTGCTCGTCTGTCCGCGCTAATCTTGGAAATGGCTGAACAGATTGTGTTGTAACTTTACAAGCAGATAGAGAGCAATGCCAGGAGGGATCAAGACTATACAAAGTGTTAGTGTAAACAACGTTATCCTTGAAACCAGTAGTTTGACGTAAATTCAATGAAAGATAACGACATTTTTTTAGTAAAATCTCAATTTTTCCTTAATTCCTCAATTTTTGCCTGTCCTAAGCCAGGATGAAAGTATGAAGGAAAAGTTACATCACACACAGGTTATGTGTACCTTGAAATCATACGTAATATATGTATAACGTGAATTTACGTTCTATAAGTGAAATTAAACCACTGGTTTCAAGGATAACGGTGTTTACACTAACAACCTGTATTTTATCGAAAAACTTAGATTAAAAAAAAACATGGAAAATTTATAAAATAAATGGCCTTTTATTATCTTACATCTAACTAACGCGATATTAATAGATCATATACAGGCGAAGCCAGAGGAAATCGCCGTATTGAATAAATATATTTAGGTATTAGATCCGGTTGAGATATATATAAAATGTTTATATTTTCAATAAAAACCACTAAAAAACCTCCCAGGCACGATATTACATCAAACAAATACTAATAACCCCGTCCACTTTTTAAATCGCTTCAAATTTGTCTACATTTTTATTCATCACTTTTCACTGTCAGAGAAAACGTAGATTATATTTTGGGCACACATTAATACTTGTTCAAATTAGTCAATTTCTGAGAGAAATTTCACATTCGGCTAGCATTGTAAGATTTTAAGAATATTCGTAAAAATTATTCTATTTTTATGTCACTACGTAGGTTTGCTATTTTTAATTAACTTCTTTTCACTCGCCAATTAGTTCAAGGAATTGGAAATATTATCACCATGACCATGTTAGTGATAAAAATAGGCATTTTCTAAATAGAAAGATTAAGTTCAAACAGCAATTCAGACCATAATTTTATTTTACGAAATTTTTACCGGTATTACAGAAACCGTGTTTAAAATAGTGAATTAAAAGGAAAGGTAGGAATTGGCTATCTACTAGAGAATTTTAAATCGACCCACTTTATCAGAGTGCTTGCAATTAACATTTCTACTTAAGATTTTCAATTATCTTAAGTGCTGTCTCTCAAGGATTAAATGAACTTTGCAAAACGTATCACCGCAAAAGCATATTACCAATTTCCATACACAATGAATTAGCTTTGTTAGCTCACTGTTGTTATTTACCATGACGGTAACTTATGCCAAAAATCTACCAGTGGGTTTGGAATTTGTGATTCAGTGTCGCACGTTGCAGTTGTCGCGTCGATGTGAACCTACGGTGAGAGTAGACGTATTTTTTAATGTAAACAAAATGACATTATAGATAAAATTAGGCGTGATTAAATTTGAACGTTGTGTAGCCAACACGAATTCCTGAAGTACTTCTCCTCGCTTTTAATTATAACTGCTGATGTATAAGTTCTTTACTATCTATCAGTATTTTGTGTGATTTCGTATTTACCTAATAGTCGAGGGTTTTCTTTTTACATGGCTACTGTGGGGAATGGACATCTGTAAGCAATTTCAAACAAAATGGCTACAGAGGCATTGCCTTGTATGAAGACTAAGATAAAATTGCACTAATTTACTTACTCTTTACTGAATAATGCAGACCGGAACAGTTCTAGTCACAGCAGTGCAGTGCTGTGTTCCGGTCTACTTTAACTACTACTGTACTACAAACGCAAGCAGACTAATAGTAGTCTGCTGTGATGAACATAGACTTTGTACATTGTCTCACAGGGGAGATATTTGCTATAGTTGCACGCATGGCGGGCGGATTAGCAATCGCAGTTTTATTATTTTCAGTGGAACAGAAACTTTTTTATTCAATGTAGATTATAAACAATACTTATTGAAAGTCACTTTTTCATTAACCACTGGTTCGCAAAAAAAAAACTCTGTCCTGGGAAGAACCAGCAAGAAACCCAGCGGGACAATTTTTTTTATTCTAAATAATCGCTTACAATCATGTTTACAATTAACAACACAAGACAAATTAGAAATAGCTTGGTAGCGATCACCCTCCCCAGAGGTTATTATCATCCATATATTGATGATGCTGCTATCTCCTGCCCTGCCATCTCCTAGTTCAGTTTCCCATGTCAACTTGTACGATACCCACGGGATTATATTGAGTAGTGGATTACCTTACACCGCCATTACACGGGGTAGTTGCTTATTACATTATATGTTTTTTTTTATTGTTTCTGTCTTAGGGACTGGTAAATATAAATCAAAGGGGAAAACGTTTACATTCCGATCGACTAGCTGTTTTAACGTTACGGTATTAAAGCTAGCAAATCATTTTAAAACACATTTATATACGTCAAACCAATGTCTTCTTCTTCTTGAAAAACCTTGATGTGGTCACATCTTTGATTATAATTTCCATTGCAATGATAATTTAAATGATGAACTGGATAGTTTCATCCGTAATGTAGTGGCTTCGGTAGGCTATAATATGTATGTCTGTAGGTCAGCTAGCCTGTAAATTCGATGTAACGCATATACGACAAGATGAAAGGAAACTTTGCCTTCAATGGCAAAATTGAAGACTTTGATGCTCAAAATTATGTAGGTTAAAATAGGTTACTAGCATGATAACAATGCTGTCATATAATATCTCCTGTAACACTATCATAATGATATAATATTATATTAAAAAAATATAATAAAAATTAAATATATATATATATATATATGCAATATTTACTACGACAACCTATTAATAAATAATTTTAATTGCTACAGTAATCTATTTATAAAACGGCGTAATAATTTCTAGACGAAGTGACGAGTAGTAAAAAATTTTTTACCTGCACCAAGAACCGTGACCCCATCAGGAAGCGTGGTAGCCGTACAATACCGTGGTAGGCCTTTGCTACTAATGAAGTTTTTCGATCTCTTCCCCTGCTCGATGAGCTTCTGCGGCGGCATGCCTAGGAGTTCGATAATACACGCCATCTGGTCCAATTCATCTTCACCGGGTAGTAAGGGAAAGCCTGAAATGTGAACGTAATTTACATAAATATCATGAGTCTTATAGTGACAGGATAGGTAATAGGATCTAGTAGAATTAGGAACGATATAATTTCAAAGGTGTTTTGACTAAAAAACTCTAGAAAAGTTTAAGGCTTCCGAATCAGCATTTTACAATGTATTCCACCCTGCAAGCTTTTAACTTTTTTTATTAGACAAAGCAAAAGAACAAAAGTAACAAAGCCTGCGAAAAACATTTGACTAAGGAATATTTTAGCTAACCTTTTATGAAATTCGTTTGTTAATTTCAGCGGTAATTTAAAAAGTATGTGGGTAGAGAAATATTTTTAATCAATCGTTTCCTGAAAAAAAATTTTGCTGCATTTTCAAATTTTTGTCCACAACGAAGCTAAGTAACTTGTATGTTACTTGCCTTCGGCTGGCATTTTATAAGAAGCATCCCGTATCATTGTTTACAATTAACTTAATGAGTAATCGTAGCAATCTCTCTGATGACGTAACACCTACATTGCTCGTGGGATAAGGGTTAAGGGTACTTTTAATTTCGCTCTGTAATGACCTATGTGAAGGACGTCTCTCAATGCCACATGGTTCTTTGAAAAAGAACGTTCATCGGAACGCTTATAATTCGCTAGGAAAACAGTCTGATATGAGTGGAGAGAGATCAGGCGCAGTACCAATTTTTAAATAATTTTTAAATAAATTTACTTTTGTCCGAGGCTCGGGGTGAAACACTGCTGACTTCCTGGACTCCGGTCTGCGATTGAGAAATTCTTAGCAGAAAAACCCAAGAGCTGATTTGGCCGGCCTAGGATTCGAACTTGGGACCACATGATTAGCAGTAGCACTCTCAGTCACTGGACCACTTAAGTCACCAAAATTAGGCAGTGATTAGAAAAGAAGAAGCTTCTAAAGTGACTCCTAAATTTACAAACTTAACAGCAGCCGGGCATAATAAATTGATTAATGTTACCATTATCTGAATCTACCTGCCATTCGTCAGCAGTTCTAGTGTTGAATCACTCGCTGAGTGTAATACGGCTTCGATGGATTTGCTTATTTACTTACTGACGGTTTTAATGCGATTAAAGTTTACAAATTCTTCTGTTTCTAACTCTAATACAAATATTTTTTTTTCTGTTAATACACGTACATCTCTTTGCATAACCATAAGCACATTATTGCTTCACATCTTTACAAAGAATTTTCAGCTTTTTACAGTACATCACTTCTTTTCTGGACAAGAATTATATATCAACATACAAATAAACCGTCAATCAAAAACAAACCTGTTAGCAGCTCCGCCAAAATGCACCCTAGTGACCACATGTCGATAGGCATGCCGTATCGCGCGCCCATCATCACTTCGGGCGCTCGGTAGAACCTCGACTGAATGTAGGTGTACACGCGTTGGTGCTCGTAGCATGAACTGCCAAAGTCAATGACCTAAAAAGAAGAAGAGGACGTCAGAAAACTATGACAAGTACGTGATCAATGGTAAAAAATTTTTCCGTGGTAAAACACGTAGGTTAAAACCGTTCATTTACAAATTAGGGTAACTACTATAAATTATGGTAACTATCCGTTTAATTTTACTGTCGTTTACCGTTTATCTCTATGTTGCTATGGCCCATAGACATCTACATCTATCCACGATAGTCAAAATGAGAATCAAAATGCAGGCGTTGTCAGCCCTGAGGATAAAATGGAATGCCTCGTATCCGAAGGTTCTTTACATTCACCACACGAAACACAGCAGCATTAAGCTGTTATATTACGCTGGTATTTCGTTCGAGCGTTTTTCTTCCTTCGTCGAGCCGATCCAATCGTGCTACTAATTGGAAAGCTGCAGCGTATCTCTAACACGTATAAAATAATTATTTTGATAAAGATAAAGAATATCGGTATCTTTTGTGTTATTTCATTAGATTTAAACAGTTTTAAGGTTGTTTGCAATTCCGTATTATTTGGTATAAATAAGCTGATGATTCAGATTTAATGTAAACTTAATCCAGTCTTTTTATGTATTTATCGATTAAAATCGGTTGGGAGTCGACATCATCATTTTTTCTCGAGATATGCGAAACGAAAATTGGTTATACCGTATCGTATGAATGTATGTACAAACGTGTGTGTACATTCAATTAAACTCAAAGGACAGTGTGTAAATATTATGTTGAAAATAAATTGTTTGTACTTTCATAAATTACAACAACTTACAAAAGGAAATGGAAAAAGTTTGTTGTAAACTTCCAAATACAAAAGAAACGCTTTTTTATATTTACGAACTAGGTGGTACAGGCGTATGTAGCAATGTCTTTTTGGTCAGAAAAATGTGTAAGTCAATGTCAGAAACATTCTCGAACACGCGCACATCCAACAAAGGAATATTCTCTTTTATTTACTAATTTATTTAGGAACTATAAAACATACTATTAAAATAATCTACATATTTATAAAGCATAGTTTTACTGTAGCGTGCGTTTCACCGTCAAAGGAACGGATTCCATAATCTGCCAACCCGTTACTGTCAATATAACAAGTCCACCTTACTATTGTGAAAAGGTATCTTCAACTCAACGTCGCTAGGAGGGCGCGTCTATTAATTAATACGTAAGGCGATTTTCGTGATTTCCACCCTCCCCCTCTCATTGAACAAATTTCATGAGATAAGGCACGACCCCTTCAGCCGCCCAAATGTCAGGTGAGATTTTCAAACTGCGTAATTTTTAGTGTAAATACGTTCATCTGTGGTTGTGTTGGATAAAAAAAAATATAATTTGCTTAATTATTTTTATAATTTGTGGAGTTGATATAACTGCGATAAATCTTACTGTGTGGGATTTAGCCATATTTTACTTTTTAACCCAATTTTATCGAAGCTACACTGTTTCTTACTGAAAAAATTATGTGATATTTACCGAGACTTCCTCTCCCCCACGTGAGATTGGTTAAGACCCTTCTTCCCCCTACGTGAGATTGGGTGAGATGACCCCGCTTCTCCTAAGTACCTTACATAATTAATTTACTCCCCCTAAGGGTTGAAGTTCTGGACAGAGTTACAAACATGAGTCTTGCTCTTGTGGGATAAAATAGAATGTATGTGAACAGTTCATAACGGCGAATTGGGCTACTCTCGTTAAGAATAGAATACAATATTTTTTTACTTAATATAGAATTTAAATAATTCTTATTGAAAGTCTTATTTCTGTTTGAAAGTTTAATCCTAAACAGGGCAATATTAAACCGACCCAAATATTATAAGCTTTTTACAACAAATCTGATTAAGGATAAAGTTGGTAAGCCGGGTTTTCGGATGAGATCAATGTAGCTGACGTCAGCACAATTGAAAATTAGGAACAGCAGAGACGCAGCAATTACATACTAGGTATCTAATTAAAAAAATCACGCAAACAACGCAAAGTGAATTACTACCCAAGTTTTCAACGAGTCACTCATTATATAGATAATAGTACTATAAAACGCTATACTTAAGTAATGGTAATGATTTATTATGTATGAGTTAGAAAAATACTTACTTTTTATTTCTTAAATTACTATTTATAATATTATCTGTCTTAATTGCTATTTGCTAGCGTCTGTAAACTAATTTGTATTGCTTCATTTTATAAACGACTGGTATAATATAATATAATTACGTTTGGGACACTAGCTATTAGTCATATTACATATAATAATTTAAACAAAAACACCCTAACTAATACAAAGCGCAGACGTAATTTTTAAAGTCAATCATGTTTCATTGTAAATTTTGTCTGTGAACAACGCTACAGCGTCTAAGAAAAAAAAAAGATTACTTATATAAAAGTAAAAGCCTACTTGAAAGACGTAAAAATTATAAAATAATTTCCGCTTAACTGCTTCGGGAGTCCGTCCTAAGACATAGTTTGTGAAACAAATAAAGCCCCCACTTCAGAAGCTGGAATGTGTATTTTTTATAAAGGATGATTTTTGACCGTTTTGAATGACATACAGAGTTATGAGATTTTTTTTAATTTATGTAGGATCACCCCAACGTAAGCCTATATAAAAGAAGAATCAGTAAAATAGGTTCAGCCGTTTCTTAGAAATCGGTAAACATACATAAAAACATACGCGTCGTATGCGGTAACTTCTCGTTTTTAGAACTCGGTTAAATTAATCATAAAAACTGTATGATAGGTAAAATATATTCATATCGCTTTAACAAATGATGACAAATTGTTTAAATAATTGCGATCTTTAGTAAGCAATGCGTTTCTACAATTCATTTTTCATACTCGGCCATATTTAAGTCATCGCCTATTTAAATAAGCAATAATATATTGATATAATCTGTGTTTCTGTGTTCTGTGGAAATAATGTTTATGTATTACACTTGTGCGCGTTTTATATTAAAATTATTGCCCACTTCAAAGAGCAACGCTTTAATACTTTGTAAATAGAACGAGAAAACGCCAATAATAGCAATGTAAGAGATATTTTCGTAGTTGTTCACTATTGGGCTATGTTGTATAAACTAAATAGTATTATTGATGTGTGTATAACCTTTTTTTATAGGTTAGGGTGACAAACGAGCACACAGTGATGGTAAGTGGTTGCTAAGGCCCATAGACATCTACATCTATCCTCAATTACAAATCAAAATGCAGATGCGTTGTCACCCCTGAGAACTAAGATGGAATGCCTCGTTTCTAGTAAAAAAGGTCTCCGGTTCTCTACACTCACCATAAGAAACACAGCAGAATTAAGCTACTATTTTACGCTGGTATTCTGTGATAGCGTGGTCCTTCCCCGGTCGAGCCGACCCATTCGTGCTACAAATACACTAGTAATATAACAGCAGCATGGCTCTACCACGTATAAATTATTAATACTTACTATTAAATGTATTTATACTATTGATCTGTATTAGTTTTCCACTTTATAAAGTTCTTCACTTCACACTTTTCCAGTATCGATAAGGGAATAATTAAGGGGGTAAGCTGGAATCAAAAAAATGTCAGTTGTTTTTACCACAATCAAAGGTTGGTGCAAACCTTGTAAGAATTAATATGTGTACTTGTACCAGGAGGCCCCGCTCTGCTTTTTGCTTTTATCTTCACGCACAATCCCTAACGGGGTAGCCAGAGAGAACAGATCGCCAAGTGTCACGATCCTTACATACCTCTTTCGCTTCTTTCAGGTTCATTAACTTCTTCATACATGCACGTCTACTCCACCGACGGAGGTATCCGAGTACTCTTGACCTACCACTCTTCGAGTAATTTGCTCACATGGTCTTCGAAAGTTAGTCTCGGTCTACCTCGACACCTTTTAATATTTACTTTCGCGCTATATATTTTCTTCACCATTCGGTCTTCACTCATTCGCTCAACGTGCCCAAACCATCGGAATACGCCCCTATCAATTTTTTAGATATGGTAGAGCCCCGCTCTGCCATATCTAAATTTTGAACTCAAAGAACTTTCTAAAATTTAATTTAAAAAAATTCCTTAACAATCTTATTTGTGTGTATGTGTGTTTACATCAATTAATATCTTGAAGCATCAGTTATATATACTATATACAAACACTAAGAAATCGTCTATTTAAGTTATTATTAACAAATACAGATTGTGGAGAGTATTGTGGTTTAGCTAACTTTGTTTTAACAGAATTTGTCGATGCGATTCTATCCTTTCCTCTTTAAAGTATCTAATAAGTCAGATCTAAATGGTAATGTTTTGTGTAATTAAGGGCCGATCCTCATTTGCCATTCACAGTCCATTATTGGGCAATGTTGTAAGATGAATGTTTTTGGTCCGATCTCGGTCTGAATTATTATATTATTGGAATGGGATTAGAGCGAAACTTGACTGTTACAGATAGTACACACATATTTTTTACTTGTTGATATTTTATCAGACCGAGAAAGGACCGAGAACGAACTGTGAATGGCATTATAATGAGGATCATCCCTAAAATGTTTAGTAACAAACAGTCATCGATCACTAATTCGATCACTAATAAAGAACTATTAGTGATCGATGAAACAGTGTACAGTTGTGTTTCGTTTAAAAGGGGCAAAAAGCCAGTATAATCACAGGCCGTGAGGCATTCCATCTTAGTCTTCATACGTAAACGTCTTAGTAGCCTTCTTAGTTTTCATATGCGTGTCATTTTTATTTTCCTACCTATCATTTGTTTACACGACATATTTTCCGGCCGTGAGACATGTCGACTTTTCATGACCGTTTTAAATAGATCTCATGAATACAATCCCACATTGTGACATTCAAAAAATATGAGACGAAACTTGTTACAGTTTGATGTGACATGAGACCACATATTGTAGCAAGGCCACTCCTACTGGTGCT